GGCACATTTCTTAAGTAATGATTGAAAGTAATCATAAAAGCTCTCCCAGTCATATTCTTTCCATAAGTCTGTGAAACACTGAAGTTGAGTAGTACTAAAACACAGGGGTGGTGAAAGTGCCCAAAACCATGTAAGTCTGAGTAGAGTGCACATGTTAGCACGAAGAGAAGAAAATTCAGATATATTCTGACATACAGGCACCAGTAGTTCTGGAATAGGATATCTGTGTCTTTACAACAAACTATGGTGGCATTTTGCCATTTTTATATTAGCTAGCTACATTATATGAATTAATGGATATCTTTGGTGGGGGGGGAATAGTGAACAATTACTTTTATAGAAAAAGATCTATTTCTAGGACAGAGGTCTTTTTCGGAATTAATATCTCTTTGGGGTGTCTTGTTTCTTTAATAGGTCAATTTTCCTAATCTTGTACTCTCAAACTAGGAACCATGTCACAACTATTTAATAAATTTGCCAATGTGTCAAAGGCATTATTCAGAGATCAGTGAAAATGGAAGTGGTTTCAACAATGTTACAACAGCAGCGAATTTGTCTCAAGGCAATAGTAGGGAAGTATTTCCAGAAGTAGAACCTTATCTGTGATGATTTTGCTCTGGTTTAATCTACCAGAAGAATAGTTTGCTATGCTGTTTGGCTCTGAAGGCAGAATCATTCTTAGGACAGTTATTTCATTCTCTGATATGAAAATTTTCCTGAATTAAGCAATGGAGGCAGGTATTAAGGTGCTGAGGCTTTTATCATGCAAAGGAAAAGACATTAAATCTTCATTGTTGAAATAATAAGCAGATGCTATCCTCTTACAGTCAAAGACTTAGTGCATAGCATTAGATGAATCACCTTCTTAATATGAAAATGATGGATGTCTTATCTTAGAAAAATAACTTTTAAATGTATAGTATCTGAAAAATGTTCTTCCAAGCACCCACAAGGTAACTCCTTTCCTCTTATGTCTCTTTTATGTCTTTCTTCCTTCCTTTAAGAGTAAAATTGGACAAATAAATATGTTTTCTCTTTTCCTTGTCAAGCTGTTGGCTATGTTTAATCATATTATGTAAATCCTCTTTAAAAGCTTAAAATCAGTTTTGGCTCTTAAAATGTGTAATGTTGTTCAAATACAAAAAATAAATTTAAAAAATCAATTTGTTTGTAGATGAAAGTAGTTCTGCGTGGACCCTAATGAAAATAAACAAGGCTATTTATTTTTAATATAATCCTCACACATATCCTCCTCTCTTCCCAGCATCCTCATCAGTTCTCACTTCTTCCATTCAGGGAGGCTTCTTGTATTGCAAGCTGAATTGCCCAGCTCTTCTACTAGTGGTGCTAGATAATAGTAGTGCTAGATAACATTTTGCTGACATTCCAGCACTGGTTTCCATTGCACATTTCAGTCTGCTTTCAGGAGAGGCTCTTAACACAGGCAAACATAATTCTAAGTGCAGAATGTAACACACACCAGTGCGGAAGTCAAGAATCTCAGTTGTGTCGGGCTGGTGCAACAGTACCTGTGGGAGGACTTCACATTCTCACCACTGTAGAGCAAGGTTTCTTCTATAGCTCCTGCCAAAAAACATGACACTTCGTGTCTGTAGTAAAGAAGTGGGAGTATAACTGAGATAAGCGAAGTTAACCAATAACTAATGGGGTTTTTTTTCTGTCAATGTCCTACAGTGATTTATTAACTAACTACATATATAGTTTTAGAAAATCATCTTGCAGTATAAAGAATATACTTTATTTATACTTGACTTTCAAATTCCATGGTTAAGTTCTGTATTAAAGAAAATTCCCTGCTTTTTCAATATATTTTCATATAGCTAACACAATGTTCGAAGTAGTTCAACTGCAGAAAATGTGCTAACAGTTACACTCGTTAATAGGTTTTAAGACTTGGATCAGCTTTGTAGCTCAGCCGCTCCCTTCTTCTTCCAGCTGGTGTGCCACCTGTGTTTGGTGAACCTCTGGAAGGACATTTTGATGTCCTTGACCATGATGCCTGTTGGATTGTGGTCGGTGGCTTTACCTACATGGGTGAGCAGCTTTGTTGGAAGCAGCAGTTCTGCCTTTTGCTGCTGCCTCCTGGGGACAGGGCAGGGAGAGGGAGGCCTGTATCCCCAACAGGCAGCTCCTGGCAGGGGGGACTGGCATTGACATTACAGGTTCTGGTAGGGAGGTCTCCAAACTGGACACCAGCTTGCACAGCTGCCACAGATGAAATACAGTGACAAAATGTGAGTCTTCTGGTAGTTGCTATCCAAAAGCTAAATTTGATGCAATTCTTGGGGGAGAAAGAAGGGGAAAGCAATTAAAAAACCCTACCAAACCCACTCAGAATATATTTTTCTTTAAATATGCTTCTGATGAAGAATTGAATGGTAATGTTGGGCTGGAATTACTGCAACTGCTCAGAATAAGGAATGCTGTACTATCCCACTGTTACACATTATGTATAAAAAACCTGTTTTATGGTTTTGAAGTATGTGATACTGACTTGATCTTCTCATGCCTTACTGAAGGGTGTGCACAGCAGAAATGTTAGAACTGCTGAGCATTGGCATTTCCAGAATGCTTATAACCTGCTTGATTGTGTCTGTTTTAGTTTTCCAGCTGAACTTTCCCTGATAGCTCCAAAGCCTTTATTTATTGTAAGAAGCATTTTGTGTGTCTAGGCATGTGTACTGGTGTGAATACTACTGCCTGGAATACCAGACCAGTTCCAGAAAAGAAATCTGCTTAGGGCAGCCATCCAGATTTCCTTACACCCAGTGTCCTGAGAGGTAATCTTTGGCTGCTGATGAAATTGTCGTCATGAACTGATTCCACCAGAGGACTGAGGTGCTGAGATGCTCTGCTGCAATTTAAGTGAGGACCAGAAAGAAAAAGGAATATTGGTCTATTCTGAATGTGTGCACAGAGTAAAGCAGAAAGTCTCACTGATCTGATTTATCTACTTATACTTACTCCCAACCAGTGGCAGACACTGCACTAGAGGAGTAAAAGCTAAATCAAATAATGGTTTATTTTTTGAAACACCAGCTTAATTTGATATGTGTTGCAAACTGAAGTACTCACTGTAAGTGATATACAGCTATTAATGTGTTCATGTTGCACAGAACAGACAGATGCAGGTGAAAATAGCATTTCAGACTTTTCTGCAACAGTGTTTCATTAATGTGTGGGGAAAAATAAAATTTTCAGTTTGCTCAAACAGATCATTTCTGGAAGAGAAAGAGGTGCTAACAACTGTTCTACATCTGATATTAATAATATTGCTTAAAATCATTACAGTGCAAGTAAATTAAATATTAAGTTCAAAGAAATAAAAATGTTTGAGCGCAGGATTTGTATTTGTATTGCAGCATACTGGAAAGATTCAAATCCTACTGTACACATTTTGTACACAGTTGAATGATTTTTGTAATCAGGAATGTCTTTACATAATATAGAGTATTTTCTAACACTTCACATTACCACAAAATCTATTTGACAATCTTTAACAGTTCAGTACAGAGATTTAAGTTTTTATCTGTATTATGAATATTCTGTTCAAATGACTGACTGAAGTTCCACCACATCAGGCAAAACTGTGAGAAATAAAAATTATTCGATGTCTGCTAGTTGAAAGATGTGATTTTCCTCTTGCCTCTGCTTTCAGATATGGATACAAACAACTGAATTTATGAATTCAGAAATAAGATTTTTAATAAGTATGCATAAACACTATGCGTAAACATTTTTAAGTTATAAAAAAAATCTGATTAAATTACCATATTATATACAATAATCATACCTGATCATTCACAAAATGTAATGTAGATTAGATTACTAATTATGTTTATATTTCCCAATTTTCCTGTGCTTTTCATCCTGCATGATACACTCATGGTGATTGCTGTATGCAAATTCCTAGCACATCTGCACTGAAGGTGATTCAGAGTTGTTTCACTGACCTCAGTAATAACCCCATCAGGCCTTCACCTTCTCTGATCTTCTCTTTATCACACTGAAGGGTTGAGCAGCCATTCACCATAACAGCAATCCTCTAGAACTGATGTGAGGCTTCTTGTGCATCTGTGCTGGGGCTATTCTGCCATATATATATATTCTCAGAAGCTGCTTTTTTATTATTTTTACAAGCAATGCATGACTTTTAGGTGCAATTTTGAAAAAGAAATCTGTTTATTTAAGCATGAAAAAAATTACAATAATCTTAGAATCACTTAGGTTGAAAAATATCATCAAGCCCAAATATAACATACAGAATTTATTTTTATTTAAATTATGTGGCCATTTTAAAAATTCCCTTCATTTTAGGAGATTTTAAGTTCTGGAGGGTAGTGTTTTATTCAGTAAATCCTTGCACAGTGCCAGATTGGAATAGATGTCAGAAAGGCTCTTTTTGTGGTCAGTACCATGCATACAACTAAGGATGTGTGAAAAAGATGGCATCCTCTTGAGCAATACAGTCCAAGAAACACTACTAAACCCATTTAAATTGCTGCATGTAGAACAGAATTAACCTTGTACAGGGAAGAATTCTTCAGAGAAGACCTTTTCACAAATAACATCGTTGGGTTTGTGTTCACTGCTGTGGTTTTAACAATTGATGCACATTCAATTTATGGTAACAAACTGTGAGTTGTTTGGTGGGAGATGTGAATTGTGGTATTCAGGTTGTCTTTGTGCATATACTTGGCCTTTCCCATCACAGTTCCATTCTCTTACGGGTGTGATGTGGCCATATCCGAAGTCTCTGACTGATGCAGTAAGGAAGTATTAGCAGGGTCCGTAATGTGTGAAATGCTTGAACATGCAATCATGTAAATATGGCTTGCTCCAGATTAATATCAGTATCCAATTAAATTACCTGCAATGATGCAAGTGGTGCTATTAGCCTTGCGTGTTTTCCCTGTACTTCTCCGTCACCCTTTATTGCTGTATCTTCTGAATTCTCCCTTCGTTTTCTTTCAACAAAGGCAAGTATGCCATGAGGGATCTGGTCCACCGACTGCCAGGCGCTAACAACAGCAACAGCTCAGCGAGCAAGGCCATGTCTGATGACACCGTTACTGCCATTTGCTGCACTCTGCATGAAGTCATCACTAAAAACATGGAGAATGCCAAGGCCTTACGAGACGCAGGCGGCATTGAGAAACTGGTTGGCATATCTAAGAGTAAAGGAGACAAGTATGTTTTGCAAATCACCTTGCACCTTTTTAACCTCTCCAGTAGTTATTACTAGTCCTGAATGTGTTTGCCTTCTCTGTGCAATCGCGAGTTGAATCCTTCCGTTTCCAGAGAAATCACATGCCCAGCGTGAAGGGTGACAAGAAACAGGCAATGGCAATACCAAACATCTCCCTCTGCTTTGGTTTACTTTTGATGTGCCGTCCACAGTGCAGGGAGTGCACTCCATGTGCATTTTAAGGAAGAGTAATTATCTACAGCAGCCCCTACCTCTAAGCAATTGCAGAAGATCCCAATAAACATTAGGGATCAGAGTGGTTGGATTGCACCCTGCACAAGGTGTGACATGCAGGTGGAGAGGTCCTTTGAAAGGAAGGACCTCACCACAGTTCTGGTACTGCTTCTCTTGATCTAGGAGTGAAGAATGTAAAGTCACTGTCCCTCTTCACAGCACCCTTTTCCCTGCCACCAGCTTAGTAGTAGATCCATGGATTTTCTGACTGGTTGCTTCTGAGAGAGCCTTTAGGCTGCTTTGTGAGGCAAAAAAATGTCTTGCACACAACTGTGACATTTTCAGAACAGCTATGGTTTCATCTTGTCTGTTTGGCTATGTACACGCTCTTCATGAAGAGTTCACTCTTTATCCTTCTTTTGCCTAAAACAGATAGCCTGGTTCTCATATTTGTCAACCTGATGAAGTATAGTGCAATGGGACTATGGTAGTTTGAAAACAAAAAGCCTTCACTGTAGTGTACAAAACCCATCAGTTCACCTACTCGGAGCTGTCATCACACAGCCTACTGCAGCATCAGAGCTCTTAAAGAGCCCCACAAAGCCAGGCCACAACCTGAAGGAAAGATTTATGCACCCTACATTTGGTATGAGAACTTATGCTCGCCTATATGATCGGAGCATTGCCAGTATAATTTAATCCCATTTCTTTTCCTCTATTGTCACCCTTTTCCTTTCATGCCAAATTCATTATTGAAACATTCTTGAATTCAAATTGTAAGGGGTAAAAAGTAGTGTGACCAAGTATGTGATTTCAGCTGTGAGTGCTCCCCTTGCTCTGCCAATTTATTTATATTTGCAGTTTATTGTTACTGACATTACCTAAATTTTTTATTTATATTTTCTAGATCAAATGTACTGACATTGCAAGCAGGTTCATATAATTTCTCTTAAGTTGAGTGTGTATTTCCTCAGAATAATGCATTTGTCTACCTGTTCATTATCTGGTAAAGAATACTAATACCTGTTGAGTCTGGAATTTTTGAAGTATCATGGGCAGTTTCAGGAGGATCCAAGGGCATAATTCCCTGTCTGAATATACCTCATAACAGTGAAAGACATCTATTTCTAATTAATGTAGAGCAGAACAATTCCAAAATGCTCTTCCATGTCATGATATGTATCCCTCCTCTCAAGTACTTTGACCTGCAGTCCCGTATTATTATTTTTACAGGTTACACAGTTCTAGAACAAGAAAACCTGACAACACACAGTGCTGCAAATGCCCATCTTAAGTAAAAGTTCATTTTTCAGCTTTCAGAAATGTCAGTACTGTGTGCTGCTGGCTTGGTTTGGTTTCTTACTGGTAATTCATTGTTTGAAAACCGAAATTGCTGGTTCTTGGACTGATAGAAAATTCTGACATGCTCACTTTAATACAGTAAATCACTTCTGTATGAAGTAATTTTGTCCAATATGAAGCAACTGCTTTTGAATGTGCAGGATACTGAACTAGCCATGCATGCTGGTATGTATCAGCGCCAGTAGTGTGGGGCTGACCCTGATAGCCTTTGGAATGTGCCCAAGGCTTGAACAGTCTCCCTGTATGACCACATGATGAACTGGTGTTCATAAGGTTATTTATATTGGCCAAGCCCATATCAGCTTCACATAGCTCCTGTCTCTCCTCAGTATTCATGGAGTGGTTGGCACAGTTATTTTCCTGGTTACTCCATGCTTACCAGCACCCCACTAGCCAGTACAGCTGGAGGTATAATAAAAACAATTATGCTTGAAAGGACTTATCAAAACCCTGTTTACTCACCAATTACCCACCTACTGCTCTACTCTGGGTGAGAAATGGAATAGAAGTGGAAAAAAGCACCAAATAAATTACTAGGGAAATGTTGTATTAATAAATCAGTTGTGTCATAACAGCGCTTTACCAGCTTGCACGTCAGCCTACCAGTGATTCTTCTCAGAAGTCACAGAATGAACCAAAGCCTGGCCCCTGCCCAAAGCAGCAACTTAGGATTGTTGCTGGTTTTCTGGTTTCTCTTTGATGTTTCAAACCATACGCCTCTTCTGAGTAAAACATAAATCATCTCAATGACTGCCCCGAACTCCATCAATCCTCCCTCTGGACCTTGGCCTTTTCAAGGTTTTCTAGCATTCTGCTGTTTTATATGTACTTTTGATCCTGCACAGTGTATGCTTCCTTAATGGCCTGGGTTATCTTCCTGATCCTTTTCTATTTGACCCCTTTTTTTTTTCCTTTATTTTCTAAAGATTTTTTTTAACTACCTATTCCAACAGGATTGTATGACACCAGCTGATTGTAACAATAGTTTAGATCTTCTTTCAAAACTTGTCTTGTGAAGTTACATGGTTTTCAACACCACATTGTATTCCTGTCATTAAAGGATAATGGTGTGAGCAAAATCCCAGTCCACATTTGGATTCCTAATGAAATTTATCATAACTTTTTGTAATCAGTTGTATTTCTGCATCTTGGCTCTGCATTTCAAAACCAGTGCTCATCACCCATCTAGAATTTCTTTTGGCCACTGCTGAGAGGAGCTTAATGAGTTGAGCACACTGTTCTGAGCTGGAGTTCAGCAGCTTGCAGAGAAAGAAATTCTGCTTTGTCTCCTTGTCCTTTATGCCAAAAGTTGTAGCATATCTTAGATGTACGTGATGCCAGTTGGGTCCTCAACAATTTTGCCAATTTCTGCCTCCTGTTCCCCTTACTCTGCTCTCAGCAGAAATCCCTGTGTGTACTGAGATGCACAAGTTTTTTCCCCTCACATTGATTAGTACTATGGAAATAAGATACATTGCCCTTCCCTAAAAACACCTTGGTGTCCATGATGCCAAGCAAAGATGTTACGGTACACTTGAAACACACTTCATTTGTGGGTTTAAATTCGTAGCAGTGCATTTGAAAAGTGGAATGAATGGCGTCCTTTACTTAAGAGTCTCTTTCTCACTCTTTTTTTCTCTCTCTCCCTTTTTAATGTATGTGTGTAACAGGCATTCGCCCAAAGTGGTGAAAGCAGCATCTCAGGTCCTCAATAGTATGTGGCAGTACAGAGACCTGAGAAGTCTCTACAAGAAGGTAAGGATTGGGTTTTTTCTAGATTTTTTCAGATCTTTCATACTGTTATCCAAATTTGGGGGCTGAGAGACTTTAGACCAAAATATTTGTTGACGTCACTGGAAATTCACTTGGAGTTTAAAGTTTCAGATACTTGGAGTTCTTTTTTTTTTCCTTAATTTCTATTTTTAACATAAATATGCCCTTTGAAAATATGTGTGGTGGTGAAAAGGGGATGTGAATTCGATTTTGAAATAAATTCATACAAAATGTGCTGGATCTGACAGCCCTGGAGAGTGAAATTCTCTGTTCGTTGAACAAATACTGTATGTAAGCTCTCCTACTGGAACAGTCTTTCTTACACCTCCTCACGTTTCTGAGGAGATTACCAGATTTCCAGCCCTTCAGCTCCCAAATTTCCTCATGAGATTGTAAACAAGAGTATCTGAAGGAGAGATGCTTAGGGACCAGCTACATATGGAGGTGGGCAGAAACCTGTAGCTTTGTTTCTAATCAGCCAGCAGACAGTGGCATCATGTTCTTGGTTTTCAGTCTGTTGAGTCCACAGTACCATGCCATTCCCAAAGGCCTGCTAACCCCTTGAAAATGAATTGCAGTAGAGTAATATAACACTGTGAAACAACATTCTATATAGCTTTTTTAACTTAAGTGTCTACTTACTAAATGAAAACATTTACAGTAATTCTTGCTGAATATTTCCAAACTGAATTACGTTCCATGTGAGTATCAGCCTGCGGATTTAGTTCTTCAATGTCTTCTTGCTTGGAATGTCCCATCTTATGTAAGTGATATTTGTATTTGGAATCTCATCAGAGAAAGCTAAGGCTTCATGTGGCATCTTCAGTTCAGGCCCTAGTAGAGGCTGAGGTATAAGGATTGTGAAGTAGGGAGGGTTCACAGTGGTGTGGTCTGTGTTGTATGTATTCTGCAAAAGAAAATAGCTTAGTTACATTAAATGTATGCACCAAGTCTCAAGCTGGCAGAAGCTGACCTTCTGTGTGAAATGCTGTTCTTTTGCATGCCTCAGCCCTGCTTGTGTCAAGTCTGAGGAGTGAGGAAGATGATTGTTGAGTCTCTCCCATTGTTCACTTCCAGTATTTTCAGTCATCCTTGGCAGCCCTAGGGATACCATATGTGAAGACATTCCAAGTAACAAGCTGGTCCTCAACTGTCCCATTATGAGGTGGGAACAAACATGAGCAGGCTTTTCTTGATCCAAGGCAGAAACACACTGGAAGCGTGCGTAGCCTGACTTCTGTGCATGTGGGTGGCTGCACTGTAGAGGCTGAGCTGTTCTGCACCGTAATCTCTTAGAGGTTCTTACAATATCTGGCTCATGTCCAACCTTCTGTCTGTATATATATGCTGTGATGGAAAAGCAGTTTCTGGGGTTGCTCGGTGCAGGAGGTAATAATGTTGTGCTGTGTGGCTGCTGAGTTTACTGCTGCCTAAGGGACGCTGTTGGCTGCTGGTGTGACTGCTGGTGATGGACTTACATACTAAGCATGCTCAGGTACTAAGTACCTTGCATGCTTACAACAGCATTTTCCATGGCCACAAATACATACTTGTCATATGGAAAATAGGACAGGCTAGCTTTAGAGGTAGCTTCCCAGACAGTCATAGCAGACAGGTCATCTATATTATCAGGAAGAGAATTGTAATAATGTCTATATTACTTAATTCCTACACAAAATCTTAAAATGAAGATCAATCTCTGCTACATACTTGTGTATTAATTACATACCATTATATGTGCTGTTAAGCCTTGTATAAATATGGTTTCTTCTAATAAAATTGTTCAGATAGTTTATGTTACATACTCCTTTTTGTTGAAATACATACAATAATCTTTATAAAATTATAATATTTCTTAAACTTGCCTGTAATAGGCTGTCTCTTATGCTGGCCGTCTGAGTTCAACCACTGTCTGGAAGGCAATGGCAATGGTTTTATGGTAGGAAAATTAGAGAAATTTGCATTATAGTAATAGTCAGCTACTTATGTAATATAAAGATACTGGATTAATGCAATCTTTGTTTTGTCCCATTAAAATACATATGTACCAGTAAAAATGAGTGAACGTAGAGTGTAATGCGATCAGCACTTTGCAGCATCTTGCACTTGCACAGCCTTTTTTTGAAGCGCAGGTAAATCCCACTGAATAAGCATCAGCAATTTGCTCCCATATACCAAAGTATCTATACTTGGCCAACAGAGACCCAGTTTTGTATTCTAATACAAGGAAATTGCTAGCATCCCATTATAATTAAGTGAAAGCAGCAACGCTTACCTTCTCTTTTAGAAACAATATAAGCAAATAGTTTAAATTGTGGTATATTTTAGAGCTACAGGTTCACAATAAAGTATAAATTGTAAAATGAATAGAAGTGTTATTCTTTGTATTAATGGGCAAAGAAGGCAATACATGTTTACTGCTAATATAGTAGCATTCAGTATATTTAGTCCAAGTATGACTGGATCAGCAAAAACACTAAAACCTCTTTCATTTTTCTAATTTTGCTCAACATAGCAAGGAATATCCTATAGCCAGAAGAAGATAAACTGCACTGACAGAAATCCAGAGTTGGGGATTCGTGTGGGTGCTCTTTAAGTCCACAATATCTTATGCACTGTGTTTGCAGAGCCGTGCCACAAACTGTACCCTCCACTGGCAGTTTCTATCCATTGTCTGGTGATTTCCAGGTCATGGAAGCTGTGTTGTGGCTTTACTGAGACACACCGACTCTTTAGGCTGGATTGGTGTGGGAAAGACATAGAAAGTAAACAGCTTTCAGATCTGTGAGTAAGGCAATAGTGTTAGATACTCCTCTGTAGGCTTGTGCTTTGAGGGAAAAAAAGTCAATTTTGCTCCCTGGTGTGGTTAAGTTGGCACTATCCTAACACAGTCCAACAAGGAAAAGTTGTAAAACGCATAAATATTTGTGGTCCTAAAACTGTAGGGGAAAAAAAAGAAGGCTTGATAGACAAAGAGGAAGCAATTAATTTAGTCTTGAAATGAAGGATTTGCATAAATATTTGTGGTTCTAAAACTGCAGGGAAAAAAAATTAGAAGGCTTGATAGACAAAGAGGAAGCAATTAATTTAGTCTTGAAATGAAGGATTTGCCAGCCACCCCAAAAGTTGCAGGTCCTTCATCATGCAAGAGCTCATTGGATATACTGCTTAATTTACAAGCAATAGCTGGTACAGAAATCTAGTCTGAAAAAGTCCACCAAGAGGAAAACAATGTTCAGGTTTCGTTATGTATAGACAGTGATTAGATTAGTGTGATTAATTTCTAGAAAGGAGATGATGACATTTTTCATTGGTAGAGGTAATATGGTCTCCCGAAGACAATATCATCATTTTCAAACTTATTTGTTTTCTACAAGCAAGACATATATTCATAAATGATCATTCATCTGTCTCTGTTTTCATGAGTCTGATCTAATTACTTAAAATCTGATTTTCAACCATCCTTAATGGTCCCATGGTCCAAAGCCCCATCGGTGGGTCAGTGTCTCAAAACGTCGGAAAAACAAGGTACAGGAGCTATCCCGCAGCTTGTTCCTATTCTTCAAACTCCTGGAACACCCCTCCTCTTCAAGTGTCTTGGCAACCTGTATTACAGAGTTAGCAGGAGAAATAAGTGCTGCTTGAAGCACTTAGAAAGAGAGATCCTGCCCCATTTATGCTTAGCCCCTTAAGAGCTGTTACATGGCTTCTTTAAGGCACCTGTGTTTGACTCAGTATCTGTCCCTGCTCCAGTCTCTAGGGTATTCACTGGTTGAATGTTTGGGGACACCTGAGAAAATACAGATGTGACTGACTATAAGAGAGCAAATTTCCATTAGCTGGTAAACTCTATGTCAATATTCTAAAAAATAACCAACTACTCTTAAATACAGATAGCTTGTTAAATTACATGAGGAAATTTGAGCAAAAGGGTTGTGCTAAATGAGCTTAGCATGAAAGAAAATTTATTAGCTAAAAACAAGCTTCAATTAGCATTAAATGTGTATAGTATTAAAGAGCTGGAGGAACTGTCAGGAAGAATATGTTTTCTGTTAATTGGTTTGCTTTGCCTAACCACTTAGGCTCCAGCAAAATATGTTTACATTCTATCATTATATTTACACTTACTCTGTCTTCTAGTGTGTAAGTAGAGGTCATGATGAATTTGTAGAAAATATTTTTCTTTCCCATTTATTGTGGTAGGTTTCTGTTCTGCACGGAATACTAGAAATGTTTGTCCCATTCACCTGCCATCTGAATAAAAATACCACCCAACACTGGAAACCAGGGAGGCTGTTCAGGGCAGTCGTCCTTCAGTTTGTATTGTGCCATTTACAGCAGGGATACTTTTGTGATAGGCATTTAATGGAGTCACTTGGAAGATGGCCTCATCTGTCATTGGTTAGAAAAAATACATAGAATTGCCTGAAGTCTTCTGAGCAGTTAAGGCCATGTGGATATAGAAAAAGACTTGCTTTTCATGTGATTTTCAGAATAATAAGAAGATGGCTTTATGAGAAGTCCTTTATGACTAAATGCTCCATGAAAATTGACAGCATTAAAATTCAAAACCTTAGTCTCAAGGACTTTTAGAATCTAAAGTCTTTTCTGAAATAAAATATACCTACTCACCTTTTAAAAATGTTAATTACAACTTTCCGATCATGTAAACTTGGGACACATCATTTGGATTTTCTTCTGGTAAGGTTATTATTATCAGTTAGACATCCCTCAAAAGGAAGCTGGTTTAGGTTAAATTTATCTAGTGAAAAGGTCTGTGCAGAACTTAAACCCTACATTAAAGATCTAAATTCTAAATCCAGAGCATAATAATTCTTCAAAAATAGTGGCTTGACTTGAAGGAACTATTCATGTGTTCAGATTATTCATGAGCATATGTACTTTGCAGTGCTGATCTTTCAGCGGGGCTTAATTTATTTCTGTACAATTGGCAAAAGCTTTTTCAGATTAATATGTCACCC